TGCTAATTTTTCAATTTCACTGGATATCTTCTCGATTTTCAAATATTCAGTTTTTAAACGATATTTTGATTGATTTGCCATTAACAAAAAAAAAAATTGGAATTATTTGGAAAAAAAAAAAAATGAATGATCCCGGGATTGAACCCGGGCCGCCGGCGTGCCAGTCGAGCACGTTACCTCTAGGACAACGCGCTCATTTAAAACTATAAACTCATTAGTGGTATATCTTCAACATATTGAATAATTTTTTCCATTGAAATTCCACAAGATGTGGTTTCCCCCTTCTGTACGAGCTACAGTCGGCTAAATTCCAGTTAAACAAATGAAAAACAAAAAGCATTCATACCGCAGACAATAAAATTCACCCCGTCAACTCGATGGACACCCCAGCATTGCAATAAAAACTTGGTTAAAAAAAAAAAACACCCCCGCATTGCGTGTGGCGCTCTCCCTCTTTTGGGGTGCGGTACTACACCTCTACTTCAGTCAATCTCTTTGGGGTCGTTCGTCGTCGGGCATCATCGGTTGGAGGGGAGGGAACTATTTGAATTTTCAACGGAAAGGGAAGACATCTTGTATTAAGTTACAACAGTCGAGAGTAGCCGGTGGATTTTGAAAGATTTCTTTGGATTTTCTTGTGGTGGAGTTATGGATAATCAGGACACCATCGAGGCCATGCAGACGCTCCTGGAGCAGGTGGAGCTTCCGTCCTCGGCGGAGCTCATCAGGAATCCCACTGAGGAATTTATTATTGATGTGATATCTGCGTTTTTTGATAACTGTCATATTGATACTGCCACTATCAAGAGAGTAAGCTAAATCTACAGAATTAATTTGGGGTTAATTAATTGTTAATTGATGAAGGGAGATAATAAAAAATTATCCATTGTCCTTGAAAAACTCAAATTCTTGAGTTGTTATGTCGTTTTAGCTGACACCAAGCCAGAGGAATGCCCTGGAGGTGACAAATCCTGAGAACGCGTACATCGCGTCGATCCTGAATCTGCGAGAGGCAGCAGCAGTAGTAGGTCGTGAGATATTCATGAGAGACTTTCAGATAACAGACATCACGTCACCCCGACACATCAGGGCGAAGAAGCAGCTGCGATTCCTTGGCAATTTTCTCCTGTACGCGAACAACAAAAAATCCCATATGCAGGAGAGGATCGACGAGGTGCTGTCAAGGGCAGAGAAGATCCAGAGCCTGAGGGCCCAGAAACAAGATGCCATGGAGAGGATGAACGAACAGGCATTGCTGAGAGCCCAGAAGAAAATGGAAATAAAAAAAATAGAGCAGGAGATAATCGAGTGGGAATCGAAAATTTCCGGGAACAGAGCAAAAATTGCAATCGACGATAAAATCCTCAAGGAGAGGGACGCAGTGAAGGCCCAGAGGGTAGCGAGAAATCAGGGACAGAGGGCAGAGCTCCAGAAGTACCAGGACATCGATGACGAGCTCAATGGTAAAGTTGTGAGATCCCCTGAAAAATTCAGGACTCAGTTGCGAGATCTCACCGAGGCGAGGAAAAATCAGGAGGAGAAGAGGGATAATATCCAGGGTGCGATCCTCCACAAGAGGACGCTCCTCCAGACCTTCGAGACTGCCCTGAATCTCATCAAGAAGGAGCAGGGAAAATTAGGGGAGTTGATAGAGGACCAGAAGAAGCTCAAGGGGATTAAGAAGGAAGGGGAGAGACTGAAGGAAGAGGTCGACGAGGCTGCCAGGACGATTAGTCTTGTGGAGAATATGGAGAGTCAGGAGCCCCAGGTGATCGCTGGAGCTATCCAGGAGACTGAAAAACTGTGCCAGGAGAGAATCCAGAAGATCAAAAAAACTTTTGTTGAGGCCGATGGGGAGAAGAAACTTTTGGAAAGGAAGAAAGAGACTTTGGAGATTCGGTGCACAGAGTTGGGGTCGCAGACAGCGAAAATTCGAGAGCAGATTCAGGAGATTGAAGTGGAGACTAGGGATTTTCTTAGGCACACCCAGGAGCTACACGACTCGGAGATGGCGAAGATCCAGAGGCTCCACGGTGGTGCGCCTAATGGAATGGATTGATCGATGTTTTTCTAATGAATTTATGAAATCAGTACGAGTTAATTATTCTTTATTGATCTCGTGATACTCAGTAGATACAATTTAATATCTCCCAATAAATCTTTATTTTTCACAATATTTGAAATATTGAAATATTCCACGTTAATTCGATGGATTGAACGTTTGGGCTTGAATTATTTTTCAAATCATTAATGTGATAATGTGTCGGATTTATCGTTGGAGCCAGAGAAACAGCTGATATAATTGGTAAATAAGAAAAATATGTGACTCTTGGGGATTTAAGTACGCCTCTGACTTTCGTGTCGACTCTCACAGAGTGAAAATTTAATATATACATATTTGAAAGGTTACATCGATTCTAGAACACTGAAAGGCCAACTTTGATAGTTAAAATTAAGTGGAGACGATTTGATTTTGAAGAGTAATTGGTACATGGGTTAACTTGACGTATTTACATAATATGAACAGGCTCAACAGTTCGTTAAAGGCATAACTATCTAGTGACTAATCCCTCTCGTCTTCATAAACTATTCGAAAAAAATTTACAACATTTAACAATTCAAGGTAAACTCTCCCCCCCCCCCAAATCTGAATATATACATTAATAACCGGAGTCAAGTGCACAGTTTCAACAATTCAATGAGTTTTATCTCTAAAAAAATCCGAGCCAATAATAAAAAAAAAAAATCATTGAACGTAGAAAACACGATAAAAAACTGATCTGAAATGTTTTTTCCCCTGTCTCAAGAATGTTCTAAAATCAGGACTTCTAATACAGGTGGCAGTGATATCATAGACAGTTAAAAAATCCAGATACGTTATCCAATGAATTCCCTCCGACGTCATTGATCCCTGGGACTCGATAAATAAAATACATGTCGAGTGAATGAAAAAAATAATAATTAAGTTTTCAAACAGAACTGACTTGGACAGACGATGGGATACTGTCTGGCTCGTGCCTGTGGCCAATCTGAGGCTCCAGCTCTAAAGTTTCAACGTCAGCTGACAAGTGTTTCTCGTGGTCAGCACTGGTGCCACCGTCGTTATCATTTTTCTTTCTACCCACAGCCCCATTTGCATCAACCTCCTCGCTATTGAGCATCGCCCGACTGCCTCTGACGCTCTCCTTCGAGGACATCTGTCCCCCTGATTTTTTCTCCTTCTCAGATCCCTGAACGTAGCCATTTTTCGCCGATTTTCCCTCCTTGTCCTTTGGTTTCTTCGACAAACTGAAGTTTGAGATTTTTGAGGTACTCTTTCCTGTCGACTGGCGAATCGATCCAGCCCTCGATGGATCACCCTCTCCCTCCTCCGTTATCGATACTAGATTGGCTTTAGCATCCCCACTACCCTCTTCCTTCGCAATTATCGGTATATCATCTGAAAGCAAAATATAAAATGATATGTGAATTATATTGACAGAGAAAAATCCTCGAAAGCAGCTGTTGTCCTGGTTGGCGAGTAATACGTCGTCGAGGAATACGCCTTTTAAATAAATAAAAGTGAAAAAGCGTGCTGATGAATTTTTACTTGAAAAATTCTCGTTTCCCCGCATCATTTGGTGTCACCAGGTACTCCAGAGTCCTCGATTCATCAGCGAAGCCAAGATATCAAGTGCACAAAATAAAAACGAGTGCAGTGGCCATCGAGGACATCAGTGTTTTTATAAAAAAAAAATTATCAACACTGTCTGTTGCATTTTTGGCAAGTTCTCAAATTTGCTCGATTATTTTTTGATTCTACATACAAAGTCTCCATAGACGCTATTATCTTCTCGCCGAGCGCCTGCTCCTCGAGTACCCTGTAGAGACGAGCACCAGCACTGAGACGACTCTCACCCCCTGGTGATGCATTTTTGTCTTTTCTTCGTCGATGGACTTCCTCGTCGAGTCTCTTATCCTTGGATTTTTTTGGTGAGCTGCGATTTGGCGAGCCACAACTGCTAGCTAGACTCTCCCTTCGTGAATTATCAACTGAGGATGGTCCACTCCTCTGGGGATTCTCCTCATCATCCAAGGAATTCGGAGGATGCTTTCTCAGCCATACACGACGCTTTGTTGGTAGCACAGGTGGTGCTGAGTGATTCTCCGTGGATTTTGGCTCAATTGGCTCGAATAAATTCACGTCGAGATCGTCTAATCGAAATTTTAGGTTTACACCGAAGAAAATTTAGCTATTCAAGTCGTCAAATCCCCAGGACAATTCCTCTACCATATAAAAAACAACAATTGGGGGAAGGGGGATGGGTTTGCGGGGGCTAGAATCCGTTTACCTGGCAATTTCTTCGTCCTGAAGGATGCGTTGGTGATCATGGATTTGGATATCGTGGGGGTGGCTGTTGCTGGGGATAGGGCGACTCCTGCACCCATCGCACTGTCTCCAGGTTGTCCTGAAAATAATTAAATTCATTGGGAAAATTCATACAGAAATGAAAACATCGAATTATTGGAGAGATTTTCTCCTACCCGATGGTCCAGAGCTGCTGGAGTTTCTTATAGCATTCGTTACTAGCATGACATCGGGATAGGCATCGTAACAGGCTCGATTGTGCACGTCTTCGACAGCCTGACACCCCACATACCAACAATCGTTGTACATAGCGAAGTAAATGCCATGCAAAAATTCCAAAAGAAATTGATTCGATACAGGGATGCGTGGGAGGAGACGGGGAACAAAGCTCGATTCACTGTACGACGAGCGTTGGTGATGGCCAGGTTTCATGAACCCCTGGGTGACGAGTCTGAAAATATTGAGAATTTAGAAAATATAATTATCGATTTTACGACGTTTTTGTAAGGACTAATTCTTGAAGTTTCAAGAATTTTATTGTCACTCACTTTGTCGCGACTTTGCACAATTGTTCAAGTGCTGATTTTTTTATGTAACTCAGTTGCTGATTGTAGATGAAGAGCAGTGCTGTCATGACCTTGAGGCGATTCTGGGCATTGAGGGTCTCCACCTGCTGGAGTGGACCCCAGCTGACGAGTTTTGTATTGCATTCCTCGAAACGACGGAGTGCACTCTCTGTGAGGGATGCTGGTGCCAAGCTGGAGGGCTATTTCGTGGAGAATAATTAATTGAAGAGGGTAAAGAGGGAGTAAATAATTAAAATTCATTACCTCATGGTAGATCGATAGCATCGCCAGGGAGGGAAGCCTGAAGGAGACGGATTTAGGTTCTCCAGATTTGTCCACCACTTCCAGATTGTACAGACCAATCAGAAGAGTCTCGACAGAGCGACAATTCTGAAGAAATAATATCGAAATCAAAATGTTTTACTCACAATTTTCCGAATTTCATTTTTCCGTCAATTCTAGATCTCTCGTAATTACAAATTCACTGGTGTCATCCTGTGGTCTATAATTACCAGGATGATGCATCTACTTACATAACTAGGACATAACCCATTGATGAATAATTCCATACCTTAATATCGCCATGTGCCACGGAGTTCAAATAAATAAAGATGAGAGTGGGTACGAACTGGAGAGTGAACCTCTGGAGTTCGGTCTCCCTGGAGCGATAAAAATCGAAGAGCTGATTGCATACAGTATCGACCAGCTAAAGCCGAGATAAAAAATTGTGAATTAAAAGAGAAGTCACAATGGTCCCAGAGGATTGAAAAAAAAAAATCAGAAACCTCGCTGTACTTGCTCCTCTCCTCGAGCAAAGCATAAAGTGCCCTCACAATTTCACTGTCCTGGGCCAGAGTGCTGGCAAAGCTCGTTAATTCACTGGTGGAATAATCAGCACAATCAATGAGCCACTCATTGATCAAACTCTCAGTCATGATGAAATTAAGCAGATATACCCCGATGAATGATCTGAAACCTTAAAACCCCAAAATCAATCATGAGTGTTAGGGCAATTAATATTTATGACTCACTTCTGGTTTATCTCATCGGGTGAAGCTCACGAGTGGAATTTCCGTGAAACATCGTCCTCCGGTCGATGATTACATCAACAAAACACCTCCAAATTGACACGACAATTTTTTTTATTGACTAATGGATTGACCGGATTGACTGAATTGTGTGATGTGTGCGTTGTGGAGTTCAGAACGTCAATGAGAGGCGCCAGACGTTCGTTTCTGATTATTTCCACGCATCAGGACTGCAGGCAACTGCTGTATCCACTGTTTTTTTTTCTAATCTGCGCAAGCGCCGGCGGATTGTTTAAATATGAAATTTTTAAATCTGGAAATTTTTGAGTTTGCTTTTTCCGCATTCTTGATTCAGTCAAGTCACGGAGAATTCTGATTGTAGAAAGGAATAATTCACCTGGGGGAAGGGCATGTGTCCTTGAACATTGTAAATTGCGCAAATCCTTTAGATCGATTAATACACCTGTTTAATTGCGCGTGGGTAGATAATGACTGGCAGTCGAAATGATTCGGTCTAAATTCATGACAAATCGAATCTATAATCAATAATCGATATTTTGAATCGATCGCGTAAAAAATTCTGGTTCTCAGATAAAAACGATTTTCAATCATTCGCCATTGTTTTCTGAAAAATTCATAATTTCTGGAGGAGAGGAGAAAATTCGACAGATTGAGACATTGTAAAAAATGGAAATTCTAAATTGACGAAAATTCAAAATATCTCAAATAATTCGTTCGCCGGGAATTGGCAATTCCGTAATCAATTCATGAGTGGACGTGGGGTAGCGACGAATTTGGAAATGCATATTTAAAATATTTTTATTGAAAGCAACATCCGTTCAGCTTTCGCCCACTGAAGGAGTTGAATATATTTTTCATGCACACAGCACACATTGCTAGTGGGACAGCTTGCTATTATTAGTTCCTAGTCATCGTACGTCCCTCCTCGATCCCCCAATGTGAATTGAAATACGCAGAAAACGTGTACAATGTATCTTGGGTGAGAAAATCCCGAAACTCGATTGAAATTATTAATTATTCGTCTTAATCGTTGGAATGAACTGCTAGGACAAATAAAATCCCCTCCACTCGGTGTTTGTACATGTTTCTAAACCGTCATTATCCCCGTAAATTGTCCGTGAAACACTTATTGTTGAATTAATGTGAGCATGAGTCTTGTCGCGCAATTGTCACTGTAAGTATTGTAATTGTTTGAGTGGTTTTTATTCACCGACTGATTTTCTCTAACGTGTACCACACTCTCTGCTTTCAATTGAAGTTTTTCGGTAATTTATGGTGATTGGTACAGATGAGGGATGCTGTCGTCGACAAACGCACCGCCAGTCTAGCTCAACGAGGAAAACCCACCATCGAAATTTACCGGCCACCAGGTAATCCTGTGCCATTACCTGAAATCATTTCAATCGGTTTCAGTTTAGAAAAAAAAAAGTGACATTCCCTCATCTCCCAATATCTCTGAATCTAACAGAGATAATGAAATTTTTACCGGAACATCTTCTACGGGGAAAAATGAGGGCTACAAAAAAGGTGGTGATAAAAATTTCACTGTCTGTCGTGGATTCAGAGATAATTCACGAAAACGCAACGATTTTTTGAATGGATTTTTTATCTTCGACCTTTTGGTGGATGTATTGCTCCAGGAGGCAGATCAGAAGTCACCACGGCGAATCCACAGCTCAACGTTCACGCCAAAGAGTTCACCCTGAAACAGATCGAAATGCACAATAATAATTTGAAGTGAGTTTTGAAATTGGCAATTAATGAATGGGAGTTTTTGGGATTGAATTTGATTTTTCAGGCACAATCATAATGAGAATCGCTCGAGTTATTATCTCCAGCACAGCAAGTCCAGTGGGAATGTTCACAGGCACTCGTACCAGCAGCATCAGCCTCATCAGCTGAATTACCACCACCACAGTCCGGCCACGAAACAGACGTATGCACTGAATACCTCGGCATCGAGTGGAAATATTCTCCACGTAATTGAATTCTCCGAATTATCAATTAATTGTAGATTTAGCGAGGAGTTTTTCCACGTATAATCCGATAAATGATTTTCAGTCTGGACCGCAAAACAGCCGAGTCCACTTTGTGGATTCAATCGCCGATTCAAAACCGAGCGGAAATTCAATAAAACCAGCGAAATTAACCAAGTCGTTGTCGTTTGTGTCGTCTTACGCTCTCAAGCGCTCCAAGAGCTTCAATAATTCAGACGTCCTTGCCTATAAAGCCAACAACATCCTGGACGTAGCGGAGCTGGGGAGATTTCCGATACCGGTCCAGGATGTCTTGATCAAAGCGATTGAAGGTAAAGCGACGAATATCTCCGAAACTACCTTAAATATCATAATTTTCATTCCATCCATTTTCGAAGTGCAAATCGAGCCCCGAAAAAATATTCTTTTCGATTAATCCGATTTTTTGTGGAGTAGATCCAAATATTTTAAACTCTCGTACATTGATGGACTTGGTGAGGCACATTCTGGGGAGAATCGTCGAGAATAAACGGTATGCTGAGCCGGCAGCTAAGATCTGCATAAAAATAATAGAGGTATGAATATTCCATGGATAATTATCATCTGAATATTTATGCGGACCTGTTGTTTTCTCAGAAAGAAGTGAAAGAAACTTTTCTGGAGTCTCTCCTCAATATGTGCCAGCAGTGGTATCAAGATCAGAGCAGATCCATCGATGACAGTTCCCTGTGCCAAAAATTCGCGGCGTTCATGACATTCCTGAACGAAATGTACTGTCAGGTATCGATTTTCGAGTCACTCTATTAAATTTACCCCGAAAACTACCGATTTCACGTGAAAATCCCAAAGACTTTTATTCTGCCTCATTGAATTTCCGATAAAAAAGATTTTTTGATATTTTTTCATAAAATCAATAGTTCTCAAATAAATTGGTAGGCAAAAAATAGTAATTCCGATTTTGACAGCTGAAGAGACGTCAACTGCAGTTGAAGACTCAACAGGAAGGGGTTCCCCCAGGTCGAGTCCTGTTGACGCTCCTGTGGAAGTGCTGTCAAGATTGCCTCCAGCCGTCCTTCATAAATTCTCTTCCTGAGGTAACGATTCAATTTTTTTTTTTCCGAAATTTGTGAATTCGGAGATTTTTTTTGTACCAGACGAATTCTCTGTTCTTCATCGTGACGTGCATCGGCAAGGATTTGGATAATGAACTGCCAGTGCAACTGGAGCAGCTCTTGGCGTGCGTTAGGGATGCATTTCTCGATGAGAATTCCAGTGAACCGGCCGTGAGGAAGATTCTCCTGCAGATAATCGAGCTGCATGCCGCACACTGGCAGCTACCAGCACCTGCACTCGTATATTATTACCCTGGCACAATGAAGTCATAGGGAATTTCATTGGATCATCCTCGGCGACGATGACTTAATCTCGATAATAAAAAAAAAAAAAAAAAATTGAAAGGACCAGAACGAAATGTTTTTTTGCGTTCTGCAATAAAAATCCGACATAAACGAAATTGACAAAGACTGGGAGACTGAAGATGAGGGATTCGATGGGCTGTGAGAGGATTCATCAGGCTAGATCGAACATCCGGTAGCCTTGGGGTCTTCCACACGAGCATCGAAATCAATAGTAGCTGCAGTCGCGAATTATCAAGAGAAATCGCAAACGCAACTCCAGGGGAATGAATTTTAATATTTCATTTCCTCAGTTAACGATCACTCCTGCACAATGTAACTCTTGTTTAATTATTTAAAATAAAGAAAATGAACATCAAGATGATTTACAATGTTAAGTGTGACCTTGGTGTGGAGGTAATTAGGATTGCCCTTGATCTCGTTATTTTTCAGGTCGTTGTGACGAAAGTTGAACGGTAAATTAGAATTCATTCCGCTATCCGAAAATCTCGTGGGATTTTTCGGGAAAATGATTAATTAAAATAGATAATTGGGGAACGGTAATTAATTTGAGTGGGAAATTGCGCGGTGCGGAATATCTATTGATAAAAAAATTATGTAAATTAAAAAAATCAGTGATTTTAACAGATCGAATGAATTATTTGCACTTTTCAGTGCGAAAATTGTTTTTTTTTTTTTCAATTTATAAACAAACAAATGGGTTTGCAGTATTAAAAAAAAAATGTATAAGTGGTAAAGTAGATAGAGTGAGGTGGAGGTAGACAGAGGTAGGCAGAGGTGACCAGGAGTTCTCACTGGGTTTTCTTGCGTCTCCAGGCAAAAGTTGGATGGAGAGAGATGACGTTGCACTTGGTGGGTGGAAAAGAGAGGGCAAAATAGGCCGACGACTTTCACCTCGCAGGTTGGTGGAATGGTTGTGCTCTTGGCCCACCAACCCGCAACCGTACGGTTTCGTTACCGCCTCACCTGGGATATATCCAAACGAAAGACGTTAGTCAAGACGATCACACGAGCAATAGTCGAGCTGGTGAACGTGTCAAAAATCACTCCCCCTGCCTCCTGGTGCACCCTGGTATCCCCTGAATTATGAGCATTCTGGAGACAATCTGTAGCGCCTGGAGTGAAAGAGCACAATTTGTTGTTAATATTGAGAGAATAAAAAATTCATTGGGAAAAATTCATACGAGATGTGGAAATTTCGGTGGAAATTTTTTAGTGCTGCAATGTGGGTTTTCCTGGTGATACCGGGATTCGGGGGTGAGTACTCCAGGGAATATTGTCGGGGTTCTCGGGATGTGGGAATTTTTTTACATGATTTTATTTGACAATCTGGGGAACGTAACTTATGAGAGAGTGAAAGCTACTCGTGGCTCACATATCGAGTTTCCCTCGTAATGAGAATTCCGGTGATCGAGCGCGAGGAAATGAATTTTTTCTTCCAATTTCTTTGTGAAGAGTGATTATTGGGTAATGATCGATGGATTGCATTACTCACGTGAGTGAAATTGCAAGGACATGATGGGATGATTTAAACATGACAGGGTAATAATTATCTCGGCACTTTGGAATCAATGATCCGGTGAATCACTGACGGTTCTATCGACACTTTTATCCATTACCTTACCCTTCGTCGTATTAAAAAAATATCAATATTAATCCATAAATTTTTATCCTTTTCAACCAACAAATGGAATTAATAATAAATAATATTAATGAACGAATTAATGAATAATGGAAAATACACATGTGATTGCGAGTGATTGCAAATATTGAATTAATTAAATCGCCGTTGAGGGATTTTTGAAATGATTTGCAAAATTATTCGTAAATGGAAATTTTTGAGATTGAAAAAATGAGATAATGCAGTTCCTCGTGTTAATTAACAGTTAAGATCTCAGTGTTGATTGATTTCTCATAGCGCGATGAATTTTAGATGGATTTGGGAGATACACCGAGAAGCAGAGGTACGATGGGTGGTACAACAATCTTGCGCATCCGGATTGGGGATCCGTTGGTATATAAAATAGAAAATTATATTTTTTAAATTTATTTATTTTTATCTCCACTGGAATTTTGATAATTTTATTCTGCCCAGAGAGCAGATTGATAAGAAAAGTGCCGGCTGCTTATTCCGACGGTGTGTACATGATGGCAGGCCAGTCCAGGGCATCCCCCAGGAAGTTGAGTGACCTCTTCATGCGTGGAGCTGATGGAATCGCCTCCGTCAAGAACAAAACCGCTCTCTTCGCCTTCTTCGGTAATTAAATTAATTAGAATTCATTGATTAAATGGATTGAATGAGAAAAATAAAGGTTTGGGGTATTAAAAAGGGCAACTAGTCACCGCTGAAATAGTGATGGCGAGTGAGAGTGGATGTCCCCTGGAGCTGCACCGGATCGACGTGGAGAGGTGTGACGGGATGTTTGACAGGGATTGTCAGGGTAACAAGTACATTCCCTTTCTACGGGCAGACTACGACAGGAAGACGGGGCACAGTCCGAACAGTCCACGAGAGCAACTCAACAAGGTCACCAGCTGGATCGACGGAAGTTTCGTTTACTCCAGCAGCGAGGCCTGGGCGAATGCCATGAGATCATTCGTCAACGGGAATTTCCTCATCGAGCCCATCAAACAGCTACCGATCAGGAACACCATGAGAGCTCCACTCTTCAATGATGCTGTCCCCAGTGTCATGAGGACGATGCTCAGCCCCGAAAGACTCTTCCGTACGTCAATTCCCTAAATTAAGCACCTGGTGCAAAAAATTGATACTTCAATAAATAATAAAGTAGAATAAGGGAGATAATTGCGAAATTAAGGGAGATACCGATATTTTTGTGGTACAGAAAAGGTTCTGATGAAAATATCGGTATCTCCAGCGGGTGTCGAGATATTGCGGGATAACTGGTGAAGGGTGGAAATGAATTTCAGTGCTGGGAGATCCTCGATCGAATCAGCATCCGGCGCTCCTGGCGTTCGGTATAATCTTCTATCGGTGGCACAACGTCATCGCCTCGAGGGTGAAAAAACAGAATCCGGAGATGATGGACGAGGAAATTTTTCAGAGAGCGCGAAGAATCGTTGTGGGTACGATTCAGAATATAATAATGTACGAGTACCTGCCGGAGTTGCTCGGTGAAGAGCTTCCAGAGTACTCTGGGTACAAGCCAGATCTTCATCCTGGGATATCCCACATATTCCAGAGTGCAGCCTTTCGATTCGGTCACACGATGATACCCCCAGGTATCTACAGGCGTGACGAGTCATGCAATTATCGTCAGACTCGTAGTGGAAAATCTGCAATCAGGTTATGCACGACCTGGTGGAATTCCAATCAAGTCCTCTCGAATTCAACTGTGGAGGAGCTGATGATGGGAATGGCATCGCAAATTGCGGAGAGAGAGGACAATCTCCTGAGCAATGACATAAGAAATAATTTGTTCGGTCCACTGGAGTTCTCGAGGCGCGACCTGGGGGCCCTGAATATCATGAGGGGTCGAGACAATGGTTTACCGGACTACAACACCGCCAGAATGCACTTCAAACTCCCCAGGAGGAATACCTGGAACGAGATTAATCCAGAGTTATTCAACAAAAATCCAGAGCTCCTCAGGAAACTCATGGAAATTCACTCGAACGATCTCGATAACATCGACGTCTACATCGGGGGAATGCTTGAGTCGACCGATGGACCTGGTGAACTCTTCTCGGCAGTTATCAAGGAACAGTTCCTCAGACTGAGGGACTCTGATCGATTTTGGTTCGAGAACGCAGACAACGGGATATTCACCAGGAGTGAGATCGAGGAAATCCGGAGAGTGAAATTGTGGGACGTCATCACGAATTCCACGACGATCCGGCAAACGGCAATTCAGAGGAATCTCTTCGTCTGGAAGAATGGTGATCCTTGTCCCCAGCCTCACCAGCTCACCGGGGAGATGCTCGACGCCTGCGTACCTCTCAGGAGATACGACTACTTCGAGGTAGAAATATAACAATTACTTAATCATTAATATCTCCGAGTGCTCGACGACATACCGAATTTTTTGTGATAGCCTCCTTTGTAGATCTCGGCAAGCTCGACAAAAAAGGTTCTCACAATATTTCTGGTTGGATCGCTAGATCTCGAGATTTTTTATAAAAAACTGGGGAAATAGTAAAAATCGGTTAGAACCGGTTTATCAATTTACTGCCGAATAATTATTTCTCGTCCATTGTCATTGACGCACTCATTACAGCGATTGGAAATGTCGAAAAAAAAAAAAAATGATAATAAATGGTAATAAAAGGAATGGTAATTATTAATCCACAGGGAAGTGAGTTGGCTTATATATACGCCTGTGTCTGTCTCGGTTTTATACCGATTTTATGCGCGGGTGCTGGTTATGGCCTCGTCAAACTGCAGAATCGTCGACGGAGGCGTTTAAAAATCGTTCAAGAGGCGATTAAAAAAAGGAGCGGTGGTGTTACGTCAAATCCTCAAGGGAGGATATCCGTCGACAAGATGATTGTGCGAGAGTGGTTGCATGCTAATCATAAACGCCTGGTGAAATTGAAATTCGGTCCAGAGGCTGCACTCCACATCGTCGACAGAAAGGGTGAAAATCTCCGTACCTTTGACTTCGCGGGGGTGAAGGTCGTCGCCGTCGAGGAGTCACAGGAGGACGATGATGGAAAGGCAATGATTCTCCTGAGAATTCCACGTGATTACGATCTCGTCCTTGAGCTAGATTCTCTCAGCTCTCGTGCCAAGTTTATCGCTAAATTGGAGACATTTCTCACGTCTCATAAAAAACACTTGTCGATGGTTCAGACTAATCGTGATATAATGATCGCCAAGGCGGAGACCAAGGAGAGGAGGCAAAAAAAATTGGAGCAATTCTTCAGGGAGGCGTACACCCTGACCTTTGGATTGAGACCTGGTGAGAGACGACGGAGGAGATCCGAGGAGAGCGATGGGGGTGAAGTTGTCACTGTCATGAGGACTTCACTGTCCAAGAGGGAATTTGCCAGTGCCCTGGGGATGAGGCCAGATGCTGTTTTTGTTAAGAAGATGTTTAATATTGTTGATAAGGATGGAGATGGGAGGATTTCATTTCAGGTACATCTTTCAATATTTATTTGAATTTCAATGAGCAAATGATAATTTATTTGTCCTTCAGGAATTTTTGGATACAGTATTATTATTCTCCCGGGGTAAAACCGAGGACAAATTACGAATAATCTTTGACATGTGCGATAAGGACAGCAATGGAGTAATCGACAAAGAGGAGCTCTCGGAAATGCTGCGTTCACTCGTGGAAATAGCGAGGACTACATCACTTTCCGACGATCACGTAACCGAACTAATTGACGGAATGTTCCAGGTAATTACTCCCTCGATAAACATTAATTTGCCAGTGATGAGAAGAGTGACGAGGTTCCTGGATTTTTTTCCAAGAATTTATCAATGAACTCTCGCTGCTCCAGGACGCAGGATTGGAGCGCAAGGATTACCTGACGTACAACGATTTCAAGCTGATGATGAATGAGTACAAGGGTGACTTCGTGGCAATCGGTTTGGACTGCAAGGGTGCAAAGCAGAATTTCCTCGACACATCGACAAATGTCGCACGTATGACGACATTTCACATCGAGCAACTGCCCCCAGAGGCGACCAAGAGTTGGTCACGGAGGCAGTGGAACGGCATCTCCACGTTCCTGGAGGAGAACAGGCAGAATATATTCTACTTGTTTCTATTCTACGTCATCACCATCGCCCTCTTCGTCGAGAGATTTATCCGTAAGGCGACAAATATTAATCCGAAAATTCTCCAGGGTGATTTAACATTTTCCCCACAGATTATTCCTTCATGACTGAGCACATAGATCTCCGTCACATTATGGGTGTGGGAATAGCCATAACTCGGGGCTCAGCAGCTGCTCTGTCCTTCTGCTACAGTCTCCTCCTCCTCACCATGTCCAGGAATTTACTGACGAAACTCAAGGAATTCTCAATTCAACAGTACATCCCCCTGGACTCACACATTCAGTTTCACAAGATCGTTGCGTGCACTGCATTATTTTTCTCCGTTCTTCACAGCCTTGGGCACATGGTGAATTTTTATCATGTGTCCACTCAACCTGTCTCACATCTACGCTGTTTAACCAGTGAAATGAGTTTTCCAAGTGATGCCAGGCTCACTATTTCCTTCTGGCTATTCCAGACCGTTACAGGTACCCCAATTAATTAATTGATTAATTAATTGAGTAATCAATTGATTAATTCATCGATAAAATGAAAATCAATTTGGGGGAAAATTAATTAGAAAATTATAATGAATGAGATAAAAAATTTCGTGATTGCAGGTGTCACGGGAATTCTCCTCGTCATCGTCATGACGATAATCTTCGTCTTCGCGCACCCTACGATCAGGCAGAAGGCCTATAAATTTTTCTGGTCAACTCACAGTCTCTACATCGTGCTCTATGCCCTCTGTCTGATTCATGGACTAGCCAGGCTCACCGGAGAACCGAGATTTTGGATATTCTTCATTGGGCCCGCGATCATCTACTCTCTAGATAAAGTGAGAAAATTTCCCGGAATTCCTTCGATTGAATCCATGAATTTAATTAATGATTCTATCTAAAGAATTTATTTGACGCCATCGCTTCGGTATTGAATAAATCGAAAAACGGGGAATTATGACGTCATGCGAATGGAATTCGTGTCTGGGAAAATCTCAAACCAGTTTTTTTTTTTTCTTTTTCAGGTCGTTAGCCTGAGAACGAAGTACATGGCGCTGGACATAATAGAAACGGAACTTCTCCCTTCAGACGTGATAAAAATAAAATTCTACCGCCCACCGAATCTTAAGTATCTCTCAGGGCAGTGGATCAGGCTGGCGTGCACCGCTTTCAAGTCCAATGAATTTCACTCGTTCACACTGACATCAGCACCCCATGAGAATTTTTTATCCTGTCACATCAAGGCCCAGGGCCCCTGGACGTGGAAGCTCCGTAATTACTTTGATCCCTGCAATTACAGTCCTGAGCATGATCACCCTAAAATCAGGATCGAGGGACCTTTTGGTGGGGGTAATCAGGACTGGTACAAGTTCGAGGTGGCAGTTATGGTGGGTGGAGGTATAGGGGTCACACCCTATGCTTCGATGCTCAATGATCTGGTCTTTGGGACCTCCACGAATCGGTATTCAGGGGTCGCCTGCAAAAAGGTCTGCTAAAAAAATTGAATAAAACAGGAAAACAGATCGGAGATGTTGAAATTTTTTAGTGATTCACTCTACTCTGATGATTACAGGTTTATTTTTTGTGGATCTGTCCATCCCACAAGCACTTCGAGTGGTTCATCGACGTTCTCAGGGACGTGGAGAGGAAGGATGTGACGGATGTTCTCGAAATCCACATCTTCATCACCCAATTCTTCCATAAATTCGATCTTCGCACCACAATGCTCGTGAGTTCTCCAGTCTTTTGTTAAAATCGTATTATTTGGGAGTAATTATCTGTTATTTCAGTACATCTGTGAGAATCACTTCCAAAGGCTATCGAAGAAGAGTATATTCACAGGTCTGAAAGCGATAAATCATTTCGGTCGTCCTGACATGACGTCCTTTTTGAAATTCGTCCAGAAGAAGCACAGCTATGTCAGCAAAATAGGTGTCTTCAGCTGTGGCCCTCGACCTCTGACCAAAAGCGTCATGTCGGCCTGCGATCAGGTGAACAAGGGCCGGAAGCTGCCATATTTCATCCATCACTTTGAAAATTTTGGGTGAAACGAGTCATCGAATTGATAAAAATTTATTTAAAAATTGTATATAAACCTCTTTAAATAGATTTTATACGATATTTGGTATGGAATGAATTTATTTTATTGGAGGACTGTGTTGGAATGTCAGTCGATCCTGCGGGTGACTGGGGGGAAGGGATACGCCCAGTGGTTCATCATCGTCGAGGCGTCGGCGTCTCGATGGTAGTCTGGGGCCTCATAGCCCTGGTTCACAATACCTCGACTGCTCGACTGGCTACTCACCATCTTTCCCATTTTACTGGAAAATTTATTTAAAAAAAAAAAAATATTTCATATTAACAAAAATCAACAATTTATTGATTAAAAAAATTAATTAGATCGAATTAAATCGAATTGAATTATCCAAAAAGACAATGTCTTCCCCGAAAAATCCTAAATCATCCCCTGGAGGCAGAGAGAAAATATTTCTTCGAACATTCCCATATTTTTTCTCTTCCTGAATATTTATATTTATATTTCATCTATGAGGAGAATCTCTTCGTAATCAATCGAAATATTCAATATTAAAGAGCTAAGTAGCGAGTATTAAAATGACAGTAACCCGAGATATTCAATTACCTCATGATGATCCTCTCATCGAGGTCGTCATCGATCTTGGGTAATTTATTTCCAACATTTCTCGTGTCGAAACTCTCCTCGATGATTACGTGCCTGTCGTACGGTGTATCGTAATCAACCTCGAGAATTGTTGAGAACTGATGAGGGAATATCAAGTCAATTATGGCAATGACAGTGCCCCCCAGGACGCAGCCAGCCCCGGCCACGAGTAGTAGCCAATAATTCCAGCCGAAGTTGAAGACGAGGATGGAGCCGTCGATGTGAGCGACGAGGGGGTCGCAGGGTAACAGGGACCAGTACGTGAGACTCGTCAGGAGCATCAGACTCCCTGTGAAAATCATACCGTATGCCCCATACCTGGGGACCACCACGAGGAGGAGATTCGTTAGAATCCAGGCAGCGAAACTCGTCCTTCGGTTAAAAAATTCCATAATTCAGACTGAATTCAATATTTTTAATCAATACACATTGATCTATCAATCGAGGAGATCAATTGTCAATTACCAGAGTATAATGGAGGCCCAGTGTCCAGCCTCTCGGTACCGTGTACCCCAGGAGAATCCCTCCTGGTGAAGACTGAAATACTCAGCCAGGGAAATAATGGGAAATGGCATTCCCCGATGGAGAGACAATTTGAAGGCCTCACTCATCTCTGTGGGGCTCCTCCACCAGAATCTCTCGTTAAACTCCACGTCCTCTCCCTCCAGGTTACCCTCGTCATTTCCCAGCACTGCTCACCAACCGACAATTAAAATTATTTTTAAAAAACCTTCAGTCATGCCAATTAAAATTAAACAATCAAGATGAGCCATCGATGAGTTAAAGATTATTTTTTTTTAAATTCCACTGACATCTGTACGTGATGTTGATGTGCATGAGACCGATGAAACCACCGATTTCAGCGTGTGTCCGGTGCCTGGAGAAGACGCTATAACTGCTGACGATTTGGGACGAGGTCGTGTGCCAAGTCGAGCCGTATTGGGCAACTGCAAACGATTAATTACTCGTTCATTCTTTGTTAATTACTTTTTAACTCGTTGGTGGGAATTTTTTTTTTTTTTCACACTGACCTTGGATGCTGGCCCCCACGAAGAGACTCAGGGTCACCGTGAAAAACGTCGTGACTCTCTAAAAAAATTCAATTAATCCAGCAGTCAAGCGATTAACCGATTTCATTCGCCGCGGTGACTCTCGCGAGGAATATCTCCGAATCTGAGCGAGATAGCGCAATTTATTCAGGATCATTTTTCCAGAGAAAATTGAGATTCGCAAAAAAAGATTCCCAAGATGATTTCACTAGGTGCTGTAGATTCGGAGATATCCCTGAAAATCAATTCACCAGGGAAAATGGGCGTGAATATTTTTTCAGTGTGAATAATATTTAGCACTTGCCTCTTTCCGTATCCCGGGGAATATGATGAGGAAGGCAGCGAATATCGTGCAGAAGACAATGAATATAGTTATCAGGTGAATATCCCCAGTGACAGGTGTCCGATTGCTGTAGCTGTAGAGTGTGGGGCCCCCATCATTTCTGAACGCATCGAACCACCCTTTCATTTTCAATCAATTGTTCCGAGCAGATTATCCAAGTGTCACTCTCTCAATTCCCATGATAAACACTCACTATTAAAATCACCTGGACAGTACGTGATCAATGAGAGTCAATGCGAGAAGGAGCGAGTCAGAGAAATCGGCAGTCTCTCCTCGCATCCGGATACGATTTAAACACCAATTTTTCACCTCCAGACGTCATCATCGGGGGATGAGGCTTCAATGACGATCGACGTTCTACTTTTATCCCAGTGGAGGAAAAAAAAATCGGGGATCCAGCGGATGAAATCGGCAAGAAGAAGAAAAAACAGATGATCCTTTCTCCAAAGTAGTTCAGAGACTGATTCAAGTGGGTTAACAGGTATCCGAGTGGAAAGTGGCCTCTGCCGATGCCAGCCGATGGTTGCCGATTTCGTGGTGGCCTCGGGGAATACGTGAGAAGTCCCTCGGCTCGAATCCTTCATTCGAGATTTATTTTTCAAATGCATTTCCCCGCATTTCCGCGATTATCCCATCACTGGTGGTCTATCCACGGGAATCCGCCACAATCGAGACGCAATGTTTTTCCTTTTCAAACTAATTGAACGGAAAATTGATTTTCCGCTCCAATTGCTTTTGTCTACTGCTACCGAAATAAATGTTCAGATCTAATAACCATTCAAACTTTTTAGGTCATCGGTGGCAGCATCTGGAATTTATTTATTTATTTTTTTTCCTCCATTATTATCTAGACTTTTTTATTTCAATTAGCCTCTATGAATCTTTATCCCAATGCCGAAAAATAAATTTATAACGAAATTATACGATATTTTAGGTTTTCCAATACCTGAAAAATTCAATTGATGAAAATTTCGGTGCGCCATTTAAAATAAAAAAAAAAAAATAAAAAAACTATTCCCCCTCCTAGTAGCAGCCGTGTAAATGAAAATTAAACAGAGCAACAAGTATCACGTAAATTTTCCATCAGCTGGTGTACCGTAGCTCGGGGAAATCGGTTGAATTTTCGCCGAAGGAGTGGGCATTTACCCGCAATTTCGCCGTACAATTTTTTCCCAATAAACCGCGGTAAAAAGAAATGTTGGATTTAACCGTTGCAATAACTAAGTAACTCGTACGTCTATTTCGAGTGTATCTAATTCTGTCCCGGGTGATGGCATACGAGAGAACTCTGAGGAAAAAGCGTTTCAGCATCTCCAGGTCGAGCGCAGTCGCTCATAAACTGCGGCACAGCCCAAATCCCAATCGTTTAATAAAACATCATCAACTGCCACTGGCTTCCACCATCCAATAAACCACCAGGTAAGAGCCTGATAACCAAATTTCACCATTTTAATCATCACCAGAGAGAAAAACACTGAGAAAAACCTCCACCTTCGGGGAGTAATTGAGCAACGAGTCGAGCCCATTCCAAAAATTCAAATTTCCCCGATATCTCAGCATCTGAAAGAGATAGCGCTATTTCAGTGATAATCAGTGATTCTTCAACGGCTCTCGACGAGCATTAGAAGAAAGGTATCAACAAAAATATCGATATCTCCTTTAGTTTTCGAGATATTCAACGATAACTGGAGAATTTCGCCGGGTTCGTTTCGTTTCGCTCTTTAATTACTCTTTTATCCCTCGTAATGACGCGATAATACATGGTCTGGCTGCTTGCACTCAGAGAATAATCCTAATCTCGCTGATAATTAATAATGGAGGCTTACGAAGAACTGTAAGTTTATCCTGGTTTAAGTTTGATGATTTTGGCTCGTGAAGAAAACGCTTTCATCCCACCACACCGAGAGCGTGACTTGTGTTATTCGTCGGACCGTAAAAGGCGACGTTCGGCAAATATATATATATATATATATATATATATGTATCTATATCTATATATTTTGGTGTGGCACATAATCTCAATACATGACGAGAAACACTGGGATTAATATTGATCGACTAATTTAAATGCTGAGGCACCCACGCTTTACGCAATCAGTCTTTCGCTAATTCCTGAAATGATCTTCTGCGCAATATTAATGCTGAATCATTGGGATTTTTTTTGACAACATGTGTAACATGTACTTTGTTGATATTTTCGGTGTCATTGAGGTAAAATGATTTTCTTATTTTTCATGAATTGCAGCCGGTTCCGTGTATTTCGCTCCATCATGTCGGAAAATCAAGGTCAGTTCCATCGGGCACATCCTTCCGTCTATATTTATACCGTGATGCCGGAATTATTGACACATGACAGTTTTCAAGGGAATTTTTCGATTTTTCGTCGGGTGAATTAGTGGTGCTTTTGGATTTCAGGGTTGACAGGCAACAGTCAGAGAAATGATGATGAAAATCGGGTAGATACGGAAAATCGTGTAGTTCTATCGCAGGACGGAAACGATGAGAAACCAACTGAAGATATTCAAGTCGAATCACCAGAAGGTATTGCGTTATTTCATTCGTCGAATATTCTTCCCGGAAAATTCATCCCCGGAAAATCATTCCCTCCAATAATGTAATATATTTTTCAAGGAACGATTCTCCGGAGCATATGTTCCCGGGAGAAATAATTTTCCACAAAGTTTGTTTAAAATAAAATGTTGGATTAAATTTGCAGAAACGATGCTCGAAAATATCTCCGAAAAATTACCAGAGTCGCGTGACGACGAGAAAGCTGTCGTCAAGTCACCACCTCTGGAAGAGCCGAGAAGACAACCCGGTGAGTGCAGATTATTGCCTGTATTAGTAGATTTGCGCTCGAGCCTCGAGACAAATTCCAATACCACATGTCCACCGCTCCCACGTGGAAATGACTTATCACCGACGACCGACGGTGCACTCGACCTAAATTACTTCCAAGACTTGTGCACCACAGACTTGAAGACAGCACTCTCGAGACTAGAGGAGACTCTCAAACGAGTGGATATCAACGCCCTGACAAAATACACCTCAACATTAGAGCCATCGGACAAATTCCACTTGCTCCAGCTGATCTCCACCCTCGTCTCAAACCTCAAGAGAGCAAAAGCCGATGAAGACGACGATCAATCTCGCCCATCACCCCCATCCCCAGTGCCACCCTCCCGTCGACCAAGAAGACGAGTGAATCGTCACACAATTGGAGTGAGTACCGAGGAATTGGCAAGTGCCAGGAGATGGTTGGAGCAAGAGCGAGGACCAGCAGCTGTAAAAATCACCCCGAAGCCGCTGCCAGATGTGCCACTCCCGGAACCAGCTAGTGCCTCTGAAAGCCTCGACAGAGTACCAGAATGGACGGATATGAACATCCCGAGAACTTGCGACAAGCACATAAAAGACGCCATAAACCAGAAGCAGTCCCTCCAGCACAAGATCAAAGAGAACGATTCAGTCAATATTCCCCTGCCCTCTCTACCCTCTCTACCCTCAGACTGTGAGCCCTCCCCCTGGGAGAATCCCCTGGACCCGAGTCCTGATCCCGACAGACTACCCTACCCCTTCTGCAACGGCAAATCCAACAAATACTCAGTGAAAAAATCAAAAATCAAACGTGCAAATACCATTGACATCCCCAACTACCTGAAGATGCAGGCGGAGAAGCAGAAACAGGGATCTGGCCTGAGAAGACCCATCGACATCAGCGACAAGATCTCCTGGAATCAATTCTGCGGTCCTCAATCCATGAATCCATCACCAGCGATTCCATCATTTCAACCTAAAACCGAGAACGACAAGAAATTTCTGGCCCTCATCACCAGGAACAACGAGCCCAGGGAAACATGGAAGAGTATTCCACCCCTCCAGCCATCCAGTGCACCCTTCAAGAGCTTTAATTATCGACAGATTAATTCTGGGGCGGATAAAAATTGGAAGAGTCGTTTTTCGAACATCAAGACAGCATTTGACAAGCCCCAGTCGAGTCCATCCTCGGTATCGTCGTCACCCGCGTCCTCTGGGCCGTTTGCATCCAGAAGGAATTCCAAGGAGCTCGGATTTTTCAAACACGAAGAGGAAACCCCGAAATTCGAGATGAGAAGCTTTCCCGAGAGTGGAGAGAGAGTGGCAATGGCCTCGAGGAGATTCTCAGGTGTTGGTAAAATCGAGAATATCCTGGAGAACAGGAGTCCCCAGGGGAGAAATCCAGCGTTCACTCATGCAGTTGGTTCGCCCTTCAAGAAATTTCCTTCGTCGAGGAACGAGGGCTCTCTCAATGTGGAGAAGCCGGTCCCGTCCAATTATCTTCCAGCTTGTGCCAGTGGAGGTCTTCTCAAGGCTAAAGTCAGGATGTTCGATCAACCTTCACCGCAGGTGCCACAGGTGCCGCAGAGGCTCATCAATAACTCTGTCCCCCAGAGTAATCAGAGAGCTTCGAACCTCGGCAATCAAACTCGACAGTTCAAGCACGGCGATCTCCTCCTGGAGAAGATCAACCGGAATAACAAGAGCCAACAGTTTTACGAAGACTTTCGAACAAATGGCATTCAGACTCATCGAGAGGTTCAGGTTGACGTACCCCAGAGGCTCCACGATAACGTGAATCAGAATTATCAGAGTGTCGCTGTTCAGACGAGTGCCAGGTCGACCCCCAAGCCCGTAACGCCTGAAACCGAGGTGTTTCCAGTCCAGAGTTTTTGCAAGCCAGTGTTTTATGAATCAGAGAATCCTATCTACATCCCACCGGGTGTAAATTATCACGAGAATGGGAGGAATCACCCCCAGGGCGAGGATGAGGTGCTCCAGGTGCTGCCCCCAGTCACCCTGAGCAATCAGCATAACGTTGAAAATGAGGATACAACGCCGGATAAAGTAATAACGAGGTATGCAGCAGCGATAGGAACAGTTGCAAGTTGTCAAGCCCCTGAGTCCCAGGAGTGCCAACAAAAAAATAGACCAGCACCTCTGATCCTTCAGGACGACATGCACCATATTTTGCAACACAAACCGATGACTCTAGCTCCAGGACAGCCGATAATTCTCCAGGATGACGTCCAGAGACACAATCAGCTGCAGTTGAGTCTGATAAAGAGGATGCAGGGGGCAGAGCCCTCGGAGCCTCTCATCGAGATCAATAATACTCAGGACAAGATAAATATTTTCGAGGAGAAATCCCACCCACTCCCCAAAATCAATGTTATCAGTCCCACGAGGACGATGCCCCTCTCTCTCCCGGGTACCCCCAAGTCCTCGATTATTCCCATTGACTCGAGTGATGAGTATTTAGTCTCGTGTTCGAGTCATCCTAATCGGTCCATCGTACTGTCCAAGTCCGAGTCCTGGCACCAGCTTGCTCTTGCCAAACCCCTTCAGCATCTCCAGGTACCACCACCCCACAAGCCACCGAAATCCAGCTCTCCCCTGTCCCAGAGGCACTCCAAAAATTTCGAAACTGGAAGCAATCCCAATCTCAAGAGGATGGAGGAAAAAGTCCAGAGGTACTTCAATAATTCTCGTGGATCCAGTGGCAGTTTGGAGTATCACCAGTCATGTGGAAAACGTGAGACCAGGAGATCATTCTCCCCGAAGAAGATGCCCAATTCTTTAGCGAGAAGTCATACGATGCCGCATCTCTTTGATGACAATGACGTCGATAAAGCCTTCGACAGCCTCTTCGAGGAGACAACCAAGGACAATCGATATTAATTCGATTTTTTGGATAGAAAAAATGTCGTGAAAATTTGTAATTTTTTATTTTTATCGAAGAGAAAATTCAAGATCTAATCTGGTATTTTATTGTGATGAGAGGATGTAGAGGAAAATTACGAGAGGATTTAATAAATAATTTGATGTAAATTGTTATAGTTAGAAATGGATTTTTGGGCATAGAGGCAGGGACTTGAGTAAGTCAAAGTTATTTTGAGAATACTTACCCCATAGACGAGATGAACGATTGCCTTTAGATAACGTCCAGTGACAAACGTAATGCCCGATAGATAATGCATGATTAATTTTTTTTCATTCACAAAAATGGAAACGCAATTTTTTTAATTTCTACTACGAGGTGTTTGTGTTTCCAGTAAAAAAGCCCATGTCTCCGTTTGCCAAATTCAGGCAGCTAGATCGTCAGAATAGTGTTCCCAGTTCCCCGAGGTAATTATTAATTATTCTGGAGTTGTAATAACGGTGAAATCAACGAGTTCATTTGAATTTAGCACGCCAAAGACCCCAGGAACTCCAGGAACTCCAGGGAGCAAGGCTTTTTCTTTTAAATTCACTGATCCAGTGGTCCAGAGCAATGTTGTGCAGATTAAGGAACGATTGCTCGCCTGGTGTCGAGCCAAAACCAAAGAGTACGAGGTGAGTATAATTTAATCGACTCAAGTCAACTTTAAATATTAATTTATCAAAAAAACTCAAAAGACCTTTTCGATCAGAAATTTAATCATCTCCGAAAAAGTCCTCTAACAGTTTCCCCCAAAACCGATATTTCCTCCGATATGACAACAATTATTAAATTTTCATTTTTAGAATATAGAGATAGAGAATTTTTCGACGAGTTGGAACAATGGACTAGCATTCTGTGCCCTTCTTCATCACTTCCGGCCAGAGGCCTTCGACTATAACACCCTCAGTCCCAGAAACAGAAGGGCTAATTTCGAATTGGCATTCACTAAAGCCGAGTAAGAATTCACATCAATTTATTCACTCATTTTATCATAGTGATCGTAAAAACTAATTGCTTTATCATAAAATTGATCAATCGTCGTCTCCAGGGAGATAGCTGACATCGCACCTTTGCTCGACGTGGAGGACATGGTGATGATGCAGAAACCAGACTGGAAATGCGTTTTCACTTACGTACAATCAATATATCGTCGTTTTAAAGACGAATCTTAGAGATAATTCGATGATCAATGAGTTTTTCTTTTGTATTTTTACACTGAGAAAATTGCTTATTCCAAAACTAACATCTCATGATTACTGGATAAACTGGCACCGATTTTCTTCGTGTTTGTGATAATTATTTTGAACTTAACGTTTTGAATGCATTTAACACTGGTGATACTCGATATTTCTCAAGCTTGAATTATCATCTCTATTTAACTCATTGAAATTAAAGTATTACCCGGCGATTATTCTAAATCTTCTCACTTTTCTTATGAAAAATGTTTACGTCAGTCTGTTTTTACTTTTAAGTATTAAGAAATTCATAGAAAATCAAGCATTGGCTAACTAGAAATTAATCAGAGTACACTGTCGTCCAGGGAGTTGTTGATGTCAGGGCGATCCTCTCCGATCATGTCCTGTAACCGAGGAAAAACGTATTAAATTGTTGTAAAAATGTGAATGAATAAATGTGAATTTTGTGGGAATAATGGTTTTACCTGGAGGACCTCAACGAGAGCTCTGGTTTCGTCGAGCATCTCCTTGTAGGTTTTATTTTCCTCCTCGAGCCTTTCCACACGTACGGAGAGCTCCTTGTTCTCCTCTAGGGCATCGTCCAGGGCTATTCTTCGCCTCTCAGCGAGAACTTGCCAGTAATTTTCACTTGGGCCAGCTTCGGACGTCAAATCTTCAACTTCGATCTTGATTTTGTCTCCCCTGGCAGTCTGACATGCCTTGTCCTTGTGGGTTGACTTCTTTAACTTTTTTCCAGAGTCTCCTTTCGGTTTCGCTGACATTTCACTGTTAATTCATTTTTCTTAATACATTTTTTCTCCAGATAATCCAATTTCCAATAAATTAATTATTGAGGTTTCCCAAAAAAATCATTTTTACGGCACATGAAATTTATCTCACGTTATCATTCCCTTTTCAATTCAATTATAACATGACCTTGAGAACAAAAAAATAAAAAATGACCCCCAACCACCACAGAAATACATTAAAAAAAAAAAGAAACTTTCCCTGAATTCCAGGACTAATTATATAATTAAAAATATTATTGAACGACCAAAATAAAAAAAAATACCCACTCCTTGGGTGCAGCCTTGGCTGTGACCCCCGACCTCAGGACCCTCCCAGCCCCCACAAGATTCTCCTTATCAGTGGCAGCTGGCTGCAAATTATGCAGTGTTTTCCTGGACTTATCCTGCACAAAAGAAACTCCTCAATTATCAAAAACCCACGTAACGGAAATTATTTAATTTGAAATTCTAACCTCAATAGATACAGGTTGGGGGATGGCAGCTTTAGTGGCACCTCCCGGTTTCATGTTAATTCCTTTCTCAATCGAAACCCTAAGAAAACACGTATTTCCTCTCGTTCATGTGTCTCCGAGTGGCAATTAATTCCCAAGTCTAGCTTTTGATATTCGAATAAAAAAACTAGCAGAAAGCCACGAAAAAGCGTTAGTGAAGCGTCGAGCAGGCGCCAGGTAATACAGGTGAAATTGGCGGGAATTCGTGGAGACGTTTGTGATGAGCGCCAAAAGATGGCCAACAGTCACTCTCTGGGGCAAAGAGGATTGACTGAAGTAGAGGGTCAGTTCTGGGGGTTTGAGTCACCCCTGCTGCATCGTAGTACTGCACCCGAAGAGCGGGAGGGCGCTACACGCAATGCTGGGGTGTTTTTTTTTTAAACAAGTTTTTATTGCAATGCTGGGGTGTCCATTGAGTCGGCGGGGTGAATTTTATTGTCTGCGGTATGAATGCTCTTTGTTTTTTAATTGTTTAACTGTAATTTAGCCGACTAGTACGAGCGGAAGGGGAAAGCCACATCTTGTGGAATTTTGAATGGAAAAAATTATTTAATATGTAAAAGATATACCACTAATGATTTTAGATTTTTAAATGAGCCCGTTGTCCTAGTGGTAACGTGCTCGACTGGCACGCCGGCGGCCCGGGTTCAATCCCGGCATCATTCATTTTTTTTTTTTCAAAATAATTCCAATTTTTTTTTTTTGTTAATGGCAAATCAATCCAAATATCGTTTAAAAACTAAATATTTTAAAATCGAGAAGATATCCAGTGCAATTGAAAAATTAGTAATTTTTTAAAACGATACTTTTGCAATATATATACTCCTAATGAAATTTTTTTATTGTAATAATGCGTTATCCTAGCGGTAACGTGCTCGGCTAGCACGCCGACGGCCCGGGTTCGATCCCGCCGTCATTCATTTTTTTTTTTAAATAATTCCAATTTTTCCTTTAGGTAGGTATTCACTGCAATTGGAAAATTCGAAATTTTTGTAAAAGTATCAGGGTAACATGACAATCGAGGAGCTATTCACTGAAATTTTCACTGAAAGTGAAAAATTCGAAATTTTTGTAAAAGTATCAGGAGAACATGACAATCGAGGAGTTATTCACTGAAATTTTCACTGAAAGTGAAAAATTCGAAATTTTTGTAAAAGTATCAGGGGAACATGACAATCGAGGAGCTCTTCACTGAAATTTTCACTGACAGTGAAAAATTCGAAATTTTTGTAAAAGTATCAGGAGAACATGACAATCGAGGAGCTCTTCACTGAAATTTTCACTGAAAGTGAAAAATTCGAAATTTTTATAAAAGTATCAGGAGAACATGACAATCGAGGAGTTATTCACTGAAATTTTCACTGAAAGTGAAAAATTCGAAATT